GCACGGCCCTGTCCGTGACATCATTTTTGTTTGTTTCTAAAAGCATTGTAAGAGTCACAAAAGCATGTACAGTATGTGAAACTCTGAAGATTTGGACTGTGATGTCATGAGCTGTCATAGGAAATACTTCATGAGTGAGCACTGAAAATATTAACTAATGTAGATCTGTTAATCTTTAGTTAGACTGTAGAAAGGGTGTTGTATGTATTATGGCATATGAGTCACTGTTTCGCACACTGAATACCGATCTTATGACTTTTATACATTTATAATATGGTGCTGTTTTGTGTTTTTGTCACACGCACAAGCACACACTGTTGAAATGATACACAGATACACAACATAAATTAGTAATAAACAATCTCACCGGTTTCTGTGCTTTTCTTTTGTAGAACATCGGCTCAATGTAAGTGATCTCGTCTTCATGAGTCTCAACTGTTTCAACAATAACAATAATAGATTAAAACATTGCATTTCTGTGTTTTCAGTGTGTTTTATTGAAGCATCTGTGAGACAATGTAACTATATTGATCATTGCTAAACCCAACATCTACAGACATTATTTTGTGTTCTTTCCATTAACCATTGTATGCTGAAAATCCTTTACTTAATTTGGTCTCAGTGATCTGAATTTATCCACCTCAGTTTTTAAGTCAAAAAAGCATTATTTGTGGATAACTTTGAGAACGTTCACTCAAAACCTACGCTCACATTGATCAATCATGCGCCTTTGATCAATCGTTTCCAAAAAAGAAACACAAAACCTGTGCTAATTGAAATAATTGAAAGAAAACAAGTTGATAAAAAAGATTGAATCCAATGTTTGGTAAAATTTATACACCTAAAGTGTAATAAGGTGGGGAAAAAATCCCAAAAAGTAAAACAATTGTCCAGTTTTTTGGGGAAGTTCTTATGACCTGCATGAGCAAAGTTGGTAAGTTTAAGTCCAATGCAATAACATTTAGGAAAAAAAAGCCTCTCTGGATCAAATTACTACCACACAACATGAGGGTTAGAAGGAACTATGCTAATAAAGTATATTGTTATTTGTTATAACACTCATCACTTTTACAAATGTAATAGCCATTAAGAGATTTAACACTTGCCTTCTTGATCAGTTTTTCTACATTTCCTGCAAATACAAAATATCAGGATTGCAGTCAAAATCAGCAGACATCCAGCAGCAGCGGCAGAGATCGGCACTATTTTAGACACTGAGAAAACAGAGAGACAGTCATTAGTGTGACCTATTGAGAAATGAACATTATAATTAGTAGAATTTTGCTGCCTTAAAGTTAACATATAAATGGATTTCAAAGTCTTAGTTTATTTTGTCCTCTACTGTGGGTTACAAGAAAAATTACAAGAACATTTTTCTTTTTTGTGTGTGTGTGTTTTGTGTTTTCATTTCAGGCTGAAAAGCAGTACAATAAGACAGATATTTTTATTGAGTAAAAAAAAAAATGAAGAAGAAATATGGTTCAGCAATGTGGAATCAATGTAATTTTCAAGCAGTAAAATGCAATTTTTAAAATTATTATTATTATTACCAATCATTAAAACCAATAATTATAATCAACTCCATAAATAATCACAAATGCACCTGCACATGGCTGGCAGAGTTGACTGATGTCCAGATGTGTGGTCTGGTTGCTGATGGGATTGTTGAGCACACAGCTGTAGCTGTTTTTCTCCTGATATTCCACCTCCAGAGGTAGAGAGAGACTGATGCTGAGATCAGACACACTGATGCTGGACAATAAACTGTTTCCTTTGTACCAGGAGAGAGTCACATGACTCACATTCACCACTGAACACACCAGTGAACAATTCTGCTGTGATGATGCTGATGATGATGATGAAGAACAGTCTCTGATGATGTTAGGAGTGGGCAAAGAAGCTGAGAAATAGAAGAAACATCAGAGTAAATGATACTGTTTCAGCTGTTGAGTTAGAGTTTGTGATGTCATTCATTGAGTGTTTGTGATTTCAGTTTTTTAATAACATCGTCTGAGATAGCAACCTTGGAATATTTCATCAAAAGGAAACTGTTTAATAGGTTTAAAATTAAAGTGAAAATAAAGGTGTATCTCAGATGCTATCATTTTTAAGACTGAAAATCTTTAGGATGCACATATACTTTCAAACTACAAATAAAAGAAACCGATATTTAGCTCACCATAGACAGTGAGAGTGAAGCTCTTGCTCACACTGTTGCTCTGTAGTAGATAGAGTCCAGTGTGTTGAGTTCTGGTGTTTGTGATGATCAGAGATCCAGTTTGATGATCCACCTTCAGTCTGTCTCTGAATCTCTCATCAAGAACATCATCATATACAGTGATGCTGCCATCCATTACATTGATTTCAGCTATTAAAGTGTTTTCAGATCCAAACCTCCACAGAATCAGATCATCATCCATTAATTCAGTAACATTAGAGTTTAGAGTGACTGAATCTCCCTCCAGCACGGACACTGACTTCACTGCATCTGTATCAGCAAACACACCTGATGAACAGAGAGTTTGTCACAGATCAGAGATTCTGGTGGTTCCAAAACATTTATTTAATGGTGATGCTTCACACAAGTAACATATTATAAGTAACATATAAAACAAAATAACTGAATATTTTTCAATCTTGACACTGTAAAACTATGTTTGTTTCACATATTTAATGGGACATTCACTTTTTTCTGAATTTGATGAGCTCATGTGAACAGGTGGACTGAATTTTATAAATTTGATCTCCTGATGTTAGACCTGAATCCAATAGCTCTTACAGCAATATCTTAGTTTGGTTTCATAATATCCTTTTTCTATGCAAATCCATCATATTACCCTGTGCAACAAACAAAGCATGAACTAAATCAGTAAAAACATAATATAAAAGCACAAAAACACACATTTGTAACTTACCATTTATTTGCCACAAATACAAGCAGAACAAAAGGACAATATGAACCATTTTCTTTGAGCATGCTAACTTTCTAATGAAAATATCTGAAAGCTGACTGTTTAGAAGTGAGATATTAGCGCGTGTGTGGATCCTCCCCCAACAGGATTCGACCACCCTTCACTGACCACACACTAGGGTTTCACTTAAATGACAGTTACAATGTGTAACATATATTAAGACTCACTGTATAGTGGCAGAAAACATTCTGCAATACAGGCATATGTTAAAAGTTTATGGCAGTTTATTAAATCAGTCTTTCATTATTTTTGTGGCAACGTATTTATACACACACCAGAACAGGGTGAAGTCATGCCATGAAATGAATGTATAACTTCATTTATAATGCTTAGCCAAATATATTAGTGTCTATGAGAGATGAATGATGAGTATAAGACAAAAACGTGTATTGTGACTCTTATTTGACTCTTTTTCAAACATGAGTAGGATACAGCTTTTTTTGTAAAAAGGAAGTCAGACTGTGTGGTTCATATAATAAAAAAAATGATGCATCCAATAATACGCACAGGTTTTCCATCCATAAGGTCGAGCCCCATTTCTTTGTAAATAAATGAAACCAGATTGTTTCGCTTTGACACACAGGAGGTGTCGCATTCGGTGAATTGCGTTCATTCTCTTCGCCAGAAAAAAAAAAAAGTGCTGTTTATTTTAGAATGTGGTTTTAAAAACCTGTCTGTGTTCGAATGCAACCATATAGTGGGGGCTTTTGTTTACCTTGTAATAAATTATTCCGTTTTTAGAATGCACCAAAAAAAGGTTTGAATTGAAACTTTGCCTGTAAGATGCTTTGGACGAATATATGCATCACACACATTCACAAGATAAAGTTAATCCACGAATTGCATCGTAATTCAGTAGGCATATTGCAATAGTTTATTATTATTATTTTTTTTTTTTGGAGGGGTGGGGGCGAGCTTCCAGTGACAGAGAATCAGACAAAACTTCATTTGTTATGTTTTAAAGCCCCTGTACTGTTTTTCTGGGAGCATTCTCATAGGCCAATTTAAAATGAAACGAAACCTAGGCTCCTCTGCCGGTCACGTGATTTACTGGGAAACGATAGCCTTGCTACGAAACTTAAATTGCGAACCTTAAATATATCCAATATATGCACTATAGCTATGTTACATGTTGCATACATAACATCGCTAGTAAATCGTTTTCACGGATTGTTTTCTATGGGGTAGATGGTGTCATGCTAACTGATAAGTGACCAAATAAAGCTGCAAACAGACCAGCAACCAGCAAACAAGCTTAGATTGTTTTAATATATTTTCACCTAGAACGTGATTCAGTGTGATTCACCTAGAATTATGGCTGATCTTTTTAATTGTTACGAGTTGAGCAGGTTTCTACAACACTGCCCGCCCCGCCTACAGACCGTAGAAATAAAAGCACACCTGTATCGCTTTCTTGTACAAGGAAAATCAGAGCCAATGTAATTGCCGTGTTCTTTTTTTCTTTTCTTCTTTTTCCCTTTTATCCTTACACCGATTTTTTTTTAAAGGAATGCCCCTATTTCCTATCAGAAAAGAAGGAAGCAGAATTAAACATTCAGTTTAAATGATTCACCTGGGGAGGACAATTAAAACAATGGGAGGCTACTTTGTACTTACTCTGTTTGTTTTTCTTTTTGATGGTAAGTCATTTGATTCTGTAATTTCAATATCTGCTTTGACTGCATGCATAGGCTATGCAATAGGAATGCATTAGTTTTAAAAAGCCTTTGTCAATTTGACATATCTCGCTGCTCGTTGCTTTGGAAAAAAATGTCCAAACGTGTAAACATTCACAGGATAAAGTTGCATCGTAATTTAGTCCACTGCAATAGTTTTAAGTTCGCACAGTGTTGTTTTCTTTTGGCGAGCTTCTGGGACAGATTCACACTTTGTTCCGTTTTAAACCTCCTTCTGCAAACATACACATTGTCCTACTCAGCATGTATTTATATTATGTTTTTTAATATGCAAAGTACTGTAATGTGATGTTTATAATGTGCGCCCTTATGTCTCATTGGGGATGAAGAGGATTAAGCATTAAGTGCTCATGTGAATGTAAATAAAGCCTGAAATGCATGGCCTGTTTGCTGTTTTTAGAGGACTTTGAGCCTATGAAACAGAGACTCCATATATAGGCTACTTGAGAACGCAGCGCAGTTTGCAATGAAAAGTCCCGAGGCTGTAATCGTTTGTTTGAAATCACGTGATCGATTTTTTTTGTTCGTCACATGTGCACCTTAATTTGCGTGTCAGTTTAATTTTTCTGTACATTTAAACTTTTCTAGACATTTGCAATATATTTATTTAAAAAAAAAGATGTACACATGCTCTCATATTCTTAATGTAAAATGCCAAAATGTTTATTGTCAGGTTGTATAAAATATTCAGCCCAAGTGGCAACATTTGATTTAATAAAATGTAGTTTCAGTCACTGGATATTATCGTTGGTCGTTTCATAAAACCACTGTCAAATATAAGTACATCTTCCTTTACCTTATATTTCAAATAAATAAATAAATACATACATACACACACACAAAATCTGAGGCTGTATATTTCTCCACCACAGAGATCTTTATTATCTAAGATCTCATGCAATTGAATTTCTCATTGGTGTGGTGATGAATTCCATGTCAAATGCACACACGCAAGTTATTATTGTTTGTCTTTGTCGTCAGGTGTGGTTGGTGATGATGTGGTAACAATGTCAGTGATGGAAGGAGATTCAGTTGCTTTGTACTCTGGTGTTACCAAACAACAACGTGACAAGATGCTGTGGTATATTAATGACACTCTGATTGCGCTGATCAATGGAGAGCCCAGTAAGAGTTGTGTGTATTATGGTGAAGGTGAGATTTTCAGAGACAGATTGGAGGTGGACTATGCAACTGGATCTCTGACCATCAAAAACATCAGACCTGAACACACTGGACGTTATGAAGCAAATTTCATCCAAAGCAAAAGCTCAGGAACCAGCCAAAGCTTGAACCGAAACCGCAAGTGTGACGGCACAAAAATCATCAAAAAAATGAGCAACATTGGCGACAGCGTAAAAACATTCAGTGTTTCCGTCACTGGTAAGTCATTCAGTGTCATTTACCTGCAGCACTTTTCAATTACTGTTCATGAATTGTCTGAAGGTGACCTGCCTAAACAGTAACTTTCAAACCAGTTCAACCTCTTTCCTTGTTTATAGAAAAACAACATCATAACACATTTGCTGCGCAAATTTAATTTCTGCATTTCTGACCTGAACAGACTGACACTCTTCAGTCTTTTTCAGTAGACACTGATGATTAAAATAATAAATAATAATAAATGGCGTGCTTTTTCATTTTGTTGTTATTCCATTGTGTTTTCCAGCCTCTCTGTCTGGTCCGGACAAAGTCAATGAAGAATTGTTCAATATGGAGAAGGAACAAGAGTCTGAAAAGAGTATGTTTTTATAATTCCCTTCCTTTTTTTTATTTACAATAGATTAGACCATATATATTAGTTAATTCATAAAAGCATACTGTTCTAAAGGTTGACATCTTCCCATATGTTCCTCTTCTGATCTCTGTCAGTCACGTTCATGTGTGACTGTGGTGATGTTAGTGTTAGTATTATTGCTATTTTTAGTGTTATTTTATTTATTTCTAACTGAGATGTATCATTAATGCAATGAATTGTCTTTTGAACTGTCTGTCTTTGTTCTAGATTCAGTACCGTCTTTAAGTCTTGTAGCGGGAATATGTGCTGGTTTTGTTGTTCTGCTGCTAGCTGCAGCTGTTGTTGGTGTGATTTACTATCGTTTCAGGAGCTCTAATAAGGGCAAGTATAACCTACAGATACTATAGTGAGAGAAAAACATAATCTTTATTAAGCAAAGTTATTGTTTAATTGTCTGTGATTTTTTTTTAACAGAAGACAGAAAGAAAAACTCCTCTGAGCATCTGTTGAAAGTTCCAATATGAGGTAAGATACTGTAATACTACAGCATGTCCAAAATATACAGATTGGTGCAAATTATATGTTAGAATCTTCACCAAAAATGTTTAAAGGTCCCATATTGTACACCTTTCTGGAGTTTTATTTTAGGTTTTGATGTCCTTAAGAATATATATTTGCGGTATAAGTACCAAAAACCATCTCAATATATTTTTACAGCTCTTCTCGCAGGAGCTCTGCTGAGAACAGGTTGATTTTGGCCTGTTTAATTAATATTCATGAGCCTCTCTTCTGATTGGCCTGTTGTTTTCTGAGTGACGCACGGCCAGGCCAACCACAGGTAACTAGGGTCAGCCGACATCACAGTGCTAGCCGGAGGCAGCAGAACAAAGGGGAAACTGGAGGCCCATTCAAACCAGCACAGATTGTGATGTTGGGTGCCAGAATCAGTGTAACACAGCCTCAAATTAGAAATTTGATCGCATATCTGCTGCCACTGCCAGACAAAAAACCGACGACAGCTGTGGTTAAACGAGGCAGTGACTGTGTAGTTCTGACGTCAACTTTTTACGGAAGTCACAACGGTTCGTGAAAAATAGCTAGAACTTTAAGCAGGCTGTGTGCATTTTACTGTGGACTGACTGTTTTGAAACTTATATAGTAATTAAATAGCCCCTAGACCTCAGTAATCGTGAAAAAATCCAGGAAATTTCAGTTTTGACAATATGGGACCTTTTAGGCAATTATTTGTATACTTTGTTTAGTGTTCCAATAGGATATATAATTAACAAACATTCTTTTTGGCATTTTAAACATGCAATATATCTAAGATGCAACAGAGAAATCTACCTATTCAGTATATAAATATGTATTATATATGAACTGTAGCCTACAGTTTACCACTGAATAAAAGGAATTTTCAACAAAGTCATCATAATGGAAAATAAATATTGTAAAGTGAATCTTATTAAATGATTAATGACAGATGTGATGATTTTCTAAATTTTCTATAGCCTAAATGTAAACACTGTTCATTTTTCTCTCATTTCCTTTTGCGAATTGTTGTTTTCTTACAGAAAGAGAGAGGTTGCGTTGTCTAACTGCATCTCAACAGGATCAGCCAAAATATTTATGATCTTAGTCATACTTAGCCTCTTTATTGTCTTTATTTCTTCTTCTTCTTCGTTCTTCCCTTAAAGTATATTGGCGTCAAAAATCATAAACTTGGCAGGATGATCCCAGTCGTGCACCGCTACTCAGCCCAGACGCACATCTGTCCGATACTAGGTGGCGCTATAATAAGGGGATTTGCATTTTGGATCATAACTTTAGAAACCTAATGGCTATTAACTAAATTATTTTCCACCTCTCAGTCCTTGAGTAAAACCATAAAAATACAATACAATATAATATAACTGTCACGAATCCGGTCTATGAACTTCAATTCACTCACCACCAGAGGTCACCCTTCCATTACATTGACTCTCGCACTACACAAACTGTTGCATGTCATCCCGGACTACATAACCCAGCATCCATTGCACTGATTGCACACAGCACTGATTGCACACAGCTGTAACCAATCACGCATTCACTATATAACACTCACTCAGATCCCTTTCTCACTGCCGAGTATTGTTTCGCATCTATGCTGTTCTGTGTAGCTACTTTACGGAGCCAGTTCCCAGGTCCTAGTTTGAGTCTAGTTTATCCTGCTTATTGCCTTAGTAATTTCGTCTTTTGATCCTAGCCTGTATATCTCGTTTCTGTATGATATCTGCCTGCCCTGAAGTATATCGCCTGTCTTGGATTACCCCTCTCGTCTCGCCCTGTTCGGATACTGTTTATTCCTCGCCTGGACCATCGCTTGTGTTTCGGATTACTCTTCAGTCTTGCCCTCTATATGCCTGTTTTATGACCATGTCTCTGTCTCCTATTGAAGCTTTGCAAATGGATCCGCAAGTCTCCTGTCTCGTTCGCCCCGTAAGAATAACATTTATTTTTTCCCCAACATTTTGAATTTTCTGAAAGTTGTCCGTGCTCCCTCACATTTGAGTGATATTAGGCTAGACCCCGGTTTTTCTTTGGGGAGACTTAGTACAATATACACTAATTGTGCAATATAATCTAGTCTTTAGAGTAACTCCATTCTCTATTGTGCAAGTATGTAACATGGTTAAATTTGTGATTCATGTGTTTGTTGCACTGTGATATATGTAAATTATGCTGAGGGGAAGCTATCCTAATTTCATTGTATGCGTGTATAATGACAACACCTACTTAACTGATATACATCTATGAATCATATATAGACCTTTGTTTTTAATTAAACGGTTGTTATTATAATGACAATAAGCTATAAATTCAAGCTGAATAATTGCACTTAGTTGGTCTGCTGGCGTAACTGATGGTTATGATGAATGATGTTTAATATGTAGCCTACTTGCATAATATCTCAATTAATTATAAATAAACACAAATACAATTTAATAATGAAGACAACAGCCATTCTGAGGTAGCAATTTATCCCAAACTTACGATTAAACATAAACCTGTCTTTTTTGCTTGTTTGTTTGTGTTTTTTGTAAACATGTCATATAGACTAATAAATATGATCATGAGGGAGTTTTTTTACAGCTCTTATTTGGTGTACAACAAATGTTCACTTTTACAGCATTTAAACAACACAGACATGATTGTGGGAAGTGTGTGGAACGTGTCCGTTTACATTTTGTTACTGTGGGTCTGTGGTTGGTTTGTCTTGACGGTCTAAGCAGTAGTTCATAAAGTCATTACTGCTGTGCTGTTGGGAAATGTCATCACTTGTTCATGCTTTATTTTTCGTAAATTTAGCCACCGTATTGAATAAATACCTGGGGTTATGTTTGTTTTCTTCTAAAAGAGAAAAAAAGTAATCAGATCTAGCAGTTTTTAATGCTTTTCTGTAGGATAGGTTACTTTCCCGCCAAGCAATACGAAATACCTCTAGTTTTGTTTTCCTCCAGCTGCGCTCCATTTTCCGGGCTGCTCTCTGTAGGGTGCGAGGGTGCTCATTATACCACGGTGTCAGACTGTTTTCTTTAATCTTCCTTAAGCGTAAAGGAGCAACTGTATTTAAAATGCTAGAAAAGAGAGAGTCTATAGTTTCTGTTACATCAAGTTGTTCTGAGGTTTTGGATATGCTAAGGAATTGGGATAAATCAGGAAGATTACTAGTGTGATATCTAGGTGAAAGAGTTTCTACGTGCTGAGAATTAACTGATTTCTGTGACATGAGGTGGCTAGCAGACGGTCGGTTTAGCCAGTATGTCTGCTTCCTGACCTGGGCCCCAGTTAGTCAAGTACAAACTCTAAGACTATGTGCCATATTCTAGACAGAAGAGCAGCACCACCCCTGGAGGGATGAAGACCATCTCTTTTCAACAGGTCAGGTCTGCCCCAAAAACTCATCCAATTATCTATGAAACCTATGTTATTCTGCGGGCACCACTTAGACATCCAGCCATTGAGTGATGACAGTCAGCTATGTATCTCATCCCCACAGTAAGCATGGAGGGGACCAGAGCATATTATAGTGTCTGACATCATGCTTGCAAGTTCTCACACCTCTTTAATGTTATTTTTAGTGATCTCCGACTGGCGAAGTCGAACATTATTAGCGCCGGCGTGAATAACAATCTTACTGTGTTTACGTTTAGCATTAGCCAGCACTTTTAAATTTGCCAAGATGTCAGGCGCTCTGGCTCCCGGTAAACATTGGACTATAGTGGCTGGTGTCTCTATTTTCACGTTCCATACAATAGAATCACAATGTGACAATATGCTGTGGTATATTAATGACACTGATTGTGCTGATCAATGGAGAGTCCAGTAAGAGTTGTATTATGGTGAAGGCGACTGGATCTGACTGTCAAAAATATCAGACCTCAACACACTGGACGTTATGAAGCAAATTTCATCCAAAGCAAAAGCTCAGGAACCAGCCAAAGCTTGAACCGAGACAGCAAGTGTGACGGCACAAAAATCATCAAAAAAATTATCAACATTGGCAACAGCGTAAAAACATAAAGTGTTTCTGTCACTGATAAGTCACTGGCTGATGAACGTTGTGAGGTGTGTAATTATTTTAAGGGAAACACACAGCTAGGCAGGTCTTGATGTCCCTTGTCTCTTGTCCCCCCTGTCTCTTTACTTTTTGGTTGCTAGGATGCTCTACAATTATGGCTAGAAAGTGGTGAAGGTAATTAGTGATGGCTATTTGCTCCCCCGAGTCAAGGACCATGGAAAAAAAATGTTCAATGCTTTTGCATTGTCTCAGTATATTGTTGGGTAATTATATTGTATATTATTTTTGGGCATCAGGGAGGTACATCAATATCAGGGGATTGAAAATGGTTTTGAATGCCTCCTTGCTTTTTACTTTCACTTTCAAATTCACAATCACATGCACTGTTTGTGTAGGGAGCGGCGGTACTGATTTTACAGGAAAATATATTTGTCAATGATGTTTTCTCAAGCCAACCTAATAATAATTCTTGTAAATAGCATTTCAGTAGGTTGGATTTTTTTAAGCCAACTCAATAATAATAATAATAATAAGAAGAAGAAGCCAATAGCATAGCAATAGCTCACAGTAATAAACCACTAATAATAATGTTTTAATAGCATTTTAGTAGATTTCTCAAGCCAAAGGTTTTCCTGCTGCCTTAAATAAAGAGAGCTGCCTTTAAAAATTAAATAATAAAAAAGATAAATAAAAACAATAAATTGTATGCTTTTTATTTTTTTTGTTATTCTGTTGTGTTTTCCAGCTCATTTGTCCGGACAAAATTAGTAAAGAATTGTACATTATGTGGAAGGTAAAAGAGTGGGAAAAGAGTATGTTTTCTCCTCCCTTCCTTTTTTTCCCTTTATTACTGTTACTTAATTACTGTTCTTTTGTTTTCTGTTCTGTCGTTATTTGGATTATTTGCCCTGTGTTTTGACCTTTGCCTGCTTAATTGACTACGATTGTGAATTGCCCTTCAATAAACTACTGTACTTAGATCTTCAGCCTTAGTGTCTCAAGCAGTTCATGGCAATAACGGATCCATTCATGAGGTCTTAAAGTGATAGCAGTGAGACTAATCTGAATATGAATAGCACCTTTGACCTTGTTCTTAACAATGAATTGGTCAAACTGGTTGGCAATATGGTTTGAATGGTTTTGTGACTAAATCTAAATGATTCACATGTTTCTCAGTCCATAAAAAACAACACTTTCATCATGTTTGTTAGGCCTTTGGCTGCTCTACTGTATGAAGTATTTATAGCGCACCCTGTCTGTGGAAGGTGGAGCTTTTATTGTTACCGATGGCCTAATTTTGGACACTAGATGATGCTATAATTAACAGTAAAAGCCTGTGGTGTGTATTCTTTCTAACTAATAAAGTACCAAGTCTCAAGATATGTCTGGTTGACATTGCCAGTTGGTTTTAAAAAGACAACAATGGCATGTCTGCGCCGATAGCCTTGTGGGCAGCGCGCCATTGCACTCTGGGCGTCCCGAGTTCAAATCCCAACTTGAGAACCTTTCCCGATCCCGGCCCTCTCTCTCTCCCACTTTGCTTCCTGTTTCCTCTACACTGTCCTATCATAATAAAGCCAAAAACACCAAAAAATAAGATAAAAAAGACAAGAGAGATGGCATTATGAATCATTATCACACTACAAGCCCACAAAGACAAAACTTAACTAAATGTGTAATAACTGTATTTTGCCTTTGGACAGCAATACTGATATGCTACTGAACAAAATAAAAATGTGTTAGCAGCTACTTTGCTACTTTTAATTAGTTTCACCCAAGGCTGATGAAAGCAAAAGAAATGATCAAAAACTCTCAAAAAACATCAGCATGATAATATATATATATATATATTTCAACAGTAAATCATAGATTGCATTTATTCTTAAATGACTCCCTGACATCGACAAAAATAAACAGGATATGACCTTTATAAAAAAAGGTGTGACGTCAAGAACACTTTTTCTTCTCAGAAATAACTTCTCTTACAGGAGCTAAAACAACCAGTGAAACTAACACTGCTTATTCAGCATTTAACAGTGTGACTTGTGAGGGCATGGAGAGACATGCATACGCGTAAGTATCGATTTTGATATTTCAAATTACACTTTTTTTTCTTATTTTCACTTATTTTCACATTTTACATTCAAAAGCAATATCATTGTCTAAAATTATCTTTTATTTGTCAGAATTTATTAATGGGTTCAGCATTTTTAGTGAAGGCAGACATCAAACTGTGAGCTTCATATGAACAGAAATGGAAAAAGCCCTTCACCCACACATTATTCACACAGACTCACAGCGAACACCTCAGACGTACACTCACAAACTGACATTGACCACAAAAATCTAGCAGTGTACATTCTCATGAAGAAGCCATTTATACGCCCAGCAGGTCAGACCACAATTTTTGCGCAGCTGTAAATAAATCAGACTACAGCAGGTTTCAATCTGACACACAAATTGAGCTTTTAGTGGAGCCAGAGCTTCCAGGGGCCTCCAAAGAGAATCAATCTCTAGGGTCCATCTGACCACTCTATAGTACTCACTGACTGCAACTAAATAATGTGTTTTTTTGTTGTTTTAGCCAAATTAACACTAGGTATGTTTGTCTACAGCTGGATTTAACCGAAAGGCGAGATTTGCCGCTTGCAATTGGGGGAGGAATTAAAAACAGAGAGTTGAACACACCACTTTCTAGTGACGTCAGTGTGGTTTTTGTGTGGGTTGCGATAACTATTTGTCAAATACACAGATGTTTTGCATGTAGCAACAGAAACACTTTTCATTCAATACTCCTACTGCTTAATCTGTATGGTCAAGAACAGAGTTCAGCATAAGTCTATGTTATTTAAATACCACTGAAGTGCATCTATAATATGTTTTATTTTGATAATCATGACACAATATTACATTAAGATTAGACTGTGTATGAAATTGCATACTTCTCCGCTACACAGTAGGCAGTAATCAGTATGCAACAAAACAAGTATGTCTGAATTCACAGTGCTCAGTAAATATTTATTTACTGAAACTAAGTAAATATTTAAATGCACCCAAAGTTTAAAACGGATCCAAAACTTCTGCATGCAGGCCCGTCATTTGTCGGAAATGGTGTAAAGGCTGTTTTAGTCACTGCCAGTGTGAACAGGACTTTAGATACTACATGTAGATACTAGATATTGTCAACAATACCAAAACTCATCTACAAGTTTTAAAGAACTTGTTGTCAGCAGGAGCAAAGGTTGTTGCAGGAGTGTCTGGGTCTGGTACTCATCTTCTCATGGCGATTGGTGCATACTCTACTTGAGCTTCCTCTTTAACATTCTGTAAAAAAGAATAATAATATTAAATTATATATATTTTTAAAACCTTAATGATGATAAATTTGAGATTCAATGTGAGTTCCCTGTTGAAAAAAACAACATATGCTGGTTAGGTATGTTTTGAAGCATGGCTGCTGGTTTGAGTTGGTTTAAGATGGTCATGTGCTGGTCCTATGCTGGTCCTAAGCAGCTAGCTCCTGCTCAGGACCAGCTTAAACCAGCTCACGACCAGCACATGACCAGCTTAAACCAGCTCAAACCAGCAGCCATGCTTCAAAACATACCTAACCAGCATATGCTGTTTTTTTTTTTTCAAAAGGGTTCAAATATCTTTTTTTCTTCTTCTTGTAACAGTGATCAGGTTGAGCACTGGCCTACCGTGAATGTGCGTGCAACAGTTTTTTGCGGAAGCTGGAGATTACGGTTTATAAAGGTTTAAATATGGATATTTTTCTTGTACAAACACATGTAGCGCATGTAGAGCATCAAGATGTTCGATTAGGTTTTAGGCATCGTAAACTTTCCCTCCTCCCTTGTTATAACTAAATTACAGATGCATGTCTAACGTCCACCTCTGGTTCAAAGAGCGTTATCACCTCTGCTCTCTTCTCCAACTCTACAAGGGACAGTCATCAACTTTCTTGCTTCAAAGAGATTCCAGGGGGGAAGGAACGATTCCCTCTTCCCCACGAAGAGCCACTAACCATGGCCCAGACATACTCAAAAGCCACAATACACATAGGAAAGGACATTGACTCCATTTATTCACAATAGGGCCTTTCGCACCGCGGGAACCTTTTCATAGTACCAGAACTAATTGTGGAACTCCCCACTTTTTGGCGTTTTCGCACCGCCGGAACTGAGTGCGATTTTAGTACCGGACTGCCTTTTTCGAGAACCAAATTAGCTCCTACTCCAGAGCAGGGTCTAACCAGCACAACTGGTACTAATCGTGACGTAAGTAGACACTGATTGGCCAAACGCGTATGAAACCCCCCTCACCCGCCATGATTTAAAACGCCGTGTTAATATACTGTAAACATTGTGTCAACTTATTTCGCAAGTATGGAGAACAGCGATAGATGGACGGACGCTAAAGTGCAGGCACTTGTAGCAAATGTAGCACTGCCAGTTGTCGTTGGAGATTCTTAGTCCTCCTTTCCATTCTTTCAATCGCTTTACGTATACGTCAACTTTCCATGTCCATTATTGTGAAACTCGCGAGACACAACAAACACACAGCTCCGATCACAGCGTCCTCCATCCTCCTGTTGTTAATGTTGTTCTTCTTTGTTTCTGTTGTTGAACGCCGCTCACAAATGACGACGCTGTCGACCGGCTTACGTCACTTCTTAGTACACACTCTCGGTGCGAATGCAACCCTTTAAATGGTACTGGGAAATAGTCCGCGCAAAATCGTCCCAGTACTTTAGTACTGTACATTTAGTTCTGGAACTAAAGTGGTGCAAAAGGCCTTAATCGAACTGTTCAAAAATGTATATTGTGTATTCCTGTGTTGTATGCATGTTCCTAGGTTATAGTAGCTTAGTTATAACTCTGTAGTACTGTAGTGAAGCTTCAATTACTTGGATCTAGACATATAAATGTATCACTGCCTTAATGTTTTCCAAACATTGGCATGTTAGGTATCAAAATGACTGTCTTCTGATTCCTGGATTAATGGTGTATATTATGTCACCATAATTTACACCGTACTCTTTTTACCATACTTTGACTTAATATTGGACAAATCCAGACCACCATAAACCATACAAATAAGGTGTTGTGTGAGACAAATGAACCTTTCCAGCTCAAAATTCACACCTCTACATTGGTCAATCTGCCAAAGATGGGTGTGACTGGTAGACCCTTAAAAGTCCCTAAAGCAAACCAATCATAATTGCTAAAAAAAAAAAAAAAACTTTTGAGACACTCTCAAAATCTCATCACCCTGGAGTCTGACTTTCTGGCAGTTTTTATCTTCAAGTAACTTTGATGATTCACTGTGGACTCTCCCATCTTCAGAACTCGACGAAAGCCTCCAGCTCACTCCTACAGAACACATCAAGAACCTCCATTGTCTACCGCATCCGGACGCTTGTTCAGCAACAAAGCCAATGCAAGTAACCATTTCCAACTAGTTAGATGTGTGTCTAAGTTTGGGCCCCTTTATCAAGGTGATTTTTGATTCTCTGATGATTCGCATTAGGTTGTTGTTAATTAATGTTATATACTGCCATTCTTTTGCCCTCTCTCTCTCTCTCTCTCTTCCCTTACTTTCCTTCTTTCTGTATGTATGCATTTTTGCTTAGTTTGGTTGTATGTTAGCTGGAGTTTCATTTATTAAATCCCTTATATTCACAATTGATTGTTTCTGTGTGCTGCTCCCAATTCGGAGTCACTGAATGTTGATCGTGCTACATGCTAAGTTAATGCTAGTACTGTATGCAGTAGGAAAGTTATTCTTTCTTGGCCAGGAAAATAATTTTTCCTAGAATTGATGAATGATTATACTGTCGGTGGACGAACAGATTAAATCATTGTAATACTGATTCTGCTACAGTTAATTCTAAAATCTGATTTAAATATTGATAATTAATTACAACCAGTTATAATTACTTATAAATATAATTCCCTTTTGAGGTAATTTGCTACACGCGTCAATTAGCTTCAGAAGGCCTTTATTAACCCCCCGGAGCTGTGTGGAGCACTTTTTATGATGGGTGGATGCACTTTATTGGACTTCAAAATCTCAACAGCCATTCACTTCCATTAAAAAGCTTGGAAGAGCCAGGACATTTTTAAATATAACTCTGGTTGTATTTGTCTGAAAGAAGAAAGTCATACAGTATATGGGGTAATTTTCACTTTTGGGTGAACTACACTCTTAAAAATAAAGGTGCTTCACGATGCCATAGAAGAACCTTTTTGTCTAAATGGTTCCATAAAGAACCTTTAACATCTGAAGAACCTTTCTGTTTCACAAAAGGTTCTTTGTGGTGAAAGAAGGTTCTTCAGATTATAAAAAGGTAAGAAAGAGATGGTTCTTTAAAGAGCCTTTGACTGAATGGTTCTTTGTGGAACCAAAAATGGTTCTTCTATGGCATCGCTTGAATAACCTTTTGAAGCACCTTTATTTTTAAGAGTGTATCCTTTTAAGGCTGCTGCCCAGGTCAGAAGCCGTTGCACTTAAGATACATTTTTTGCACTTTTATGATTTTTTTTCTGAGAGTGAATTCATTAAGTTCTTTAGTAAAAATCGGAACAGTGAAATCATCAGCTGACACAGGAAATGCACTGTATAAATATGAACTTGTGTTCCCTAAATGGATCTGTTGATCTGTTTGATCATTTGTAGTTACGGTAGAATGAGTGTCTTGAGTATTGTGGGATATGAGTTATGACATTATTGTTTTTTTTCTCTGAATCACAATCTATCATATACTGTACAAGCACAAATTTGCCTGACTGCTAAATTGATACAGAGATGAACAACATAGCTTTGGAATAAATCTTACTGTGTTATGCATATTTCTATTGTTGAATGTTGGCTCAATGTAAGTGATCTCTTCAGGAGTCTGAACTGTTTGAAAATAATAATAGATGCATTAAACAACAACAACTCAATCTTAACTAGATCTGGTTCTTCACAACATATGTGTTGTTATTATAGGGCTGTCAAAGTTAAAATATTTAATGGTTAATTAATTGTGCAATATGAACATGTTTAATGCTCCATGCATGGTTTTAATGGCTTTAACAAATGAATTCAGTTAAACTTTCATACAGAAAATAAACTTTAAAGGCATTCTTTGCAGATAATTTATAAACCATACTAAGACAAATGCTAAAGTGATTTGCATTTTATTATAATATGATGAAATGTAATAAATTGAAGCAGAAGTAAAATGTCATTCACCAGTGAAACAGTGTTATTCTAGAAATTTTAATGTGAACACCAGCTGAGCTCTGCATTTTTTTTGGTACATGTAGGACTGTGTTTCTGAGTTACTGTATAATTAGATTTATGCAGAATTGCACTTCTTTCTGTGTATTTCCAGTATGCTTTAAAGCAGTTTGAGAAATGCAGAATCTGTTTTTTTTCTGAGCGAGACGAGTAAAGAGCGTTGCACAATGTCACTTTCTAGATAACAGCCAAACAACTTTCCTTTTTGATCAGTTTTTCTACATTTCCTGCACGTGAGAAATATCCCGAATGCAGCCACAATCAACAGAGATCCAGCCACAGCAGCAACAGAGATCAACACTATCAGATACAGAGAGCCTGTAATAATAGACAGACACAATCATTAGTGTGAGTTTGATCTGATGATAAGTGAATATCCAACTTTTTTGCTGCTTTACTTGTTGACATCATATACTCGGTTTATTGTATGCTTCTGATTCAGGTTCTGATGACATGTTTGCTATAGGCCTTTTTGTCACTTCCTGTCTCGAGTGCCACGTTTGTAGTTCTTTGTAGTTTTATCAGGTGATTGTCTGCCCCAGGTGTACCTCATTTGCATTTACCCTTTTGCTTTTTCAGTTGTCAAATGTCGATGTGTTTCTGTTCCCTACAGTCCTTGTTTTTAGGTTCTTGTTTTGACTTTGAGTTTAAAAAATATTAACCTCTTGCATTTAGATCTGTCTCTTTGCCTGCCTTCTTATCTACTCCACCATTAATGCACATTTACATACACATTTGCATAGTCAAATTTTCCAGGCAAAGTCTGGACCGAATGTGAAGCGTGTGTGAAAGCCACATGTATTCCAGGTTGTGGACTAGGTAACGAATCAATGCTAATCAACTGTTTTTGGCCTGTAGATTAATATCATTTAGTTCTGTCTCACAGCTAACTTCTTTCCAAGCAGCTCTTCTTAATGCAGCCATTTTTATTGACAAGTTCAGGTATAAAGAAGTGGCTGAGTAGATACAAACATAATGTGTGCTGTTTAGTGTAGCTGAACGTATTGAAGCACAACTTTTGGTCAACTCTACAAATGTGCATTTAAGAATCCACCAAACTTCTCACTGAGACTGGCTGTATTTCACCCTCTGAATTTCTTTGTGTAAGGGTAAATTGACCAATCTTTTCAGCACATGACCAGTAGACTTAGATAAGTAAATAAACGCTAATCTCACCTGAACATGTGTGACAGAGTTGAGTGATGTCCAGATGTTGAATCTGGTTGCTGATGGGATTGTTGAGCACACAGCTGTAGCTGTTTTTCTCCTGATATTCCACCTCCAGAGGTAGAGAGAGACTGATGCTGAGATCAGACACACTGATGTTGGACAATAAACTGTTTCCTTTGTACCAGGAGAGAGACACATGACCCACATTCAACACTGAACACACCAATGAACAATATGATGAAGATGATGAACATTGTGAAGAGTTACTGCTGATGACAGGAACAGGCAGGCGAGCTGAAAAAGATTAGTAAAATCATATTAAATTGTAGTATTAATAAATAGCTGTTTCTGACAGTGTTTAATGTGTTGAGGGTGAGTTTGTGATGTCAATTGTGACTCTTGAGATTTATAATTTCAAGAATAAAAATGAACTAGGATATACTTTAATTACAACAATTAAAAAATATTAACTCACCATAGACAGTGAGATTGAAACTCCTCACAATATTGGTCTGTAGATAATAACATCCACCATGTTGAGTTGTGATGTTTGTGATGATCAGAGATGCAGTTTGATCGTCCAGCTTCAGTCTGTCTCTGAATCTCTCATCAGGAACATCATCATATACAGTCATGCTGTCGGCCATTACATTGATTTCAGCTATTAAAGTCTTATTATATCCAAACCTCCACATAATCAGATCTTCATCCATCATTTCAGTAACACCAGAATTTAGAGTGACTGAATCCCCCTCCAGCACTGACACTGACTTCACTTCATCACCAAAGACACCTGAAGAATAGAGAGTTTGTCACAGATTAAGGGTTAATGACTTTATGTTGGTTTACTTTACGAGGATCAGTACCCTGTAATTATTTAAAAGTGAAATGAAGAACACAAAACAGCACTACAGACATGAAAAAAGCTAAATGATAGAAGACATAATTAACACAAATTAAAAATACATAAAGTTGAGATAATCTGAATCTATTCTTAAGTTATTCTGAGATGCTAGATCTGAATCCAAACCAGATTTTAAATACTTGTTCAATTTCAGAATATCATAAAATAATATCAAATGCATATCCATCCTATTTCTCATATAGACATATAAAACACACATTTATCACTTACCAGCCAGTTTGCACAAACAAATGCAGAATAAAATGACAACATGGACCATTTTCTTTGAGCTCTGTACGATTATAACATCTGAAAACAGACTGCTTGACACAACAGAAGTGAGACATTGAGGCTCAGTTCGTCCAGTTCACCTGTATGGAAGGCGGACGGGGCCAAAAGTCTTTAAATGGAATGCGTGAAAAGTGACCCGTGTCAACACGCACAATTTGTCCGTGTTAACGCGGTAATTTTTAACGCGTTTCTTTTGTACGTGTAGACACGCACGTTTTGGCCGCGTTAAGGTGTCAGTTTTTGCCGCGTTTATTTGGTTCGTGTAAAGACGCACAGTTTGACCGCATTAAGACCACAATTTTGAATGTCTTTCTCAATGCACACATTCTGGCCATGTTCAAACATGTCATATTTTTTAAAGCAGATTTAAGTCCAGATTTACCCACATATTCCTATTTTTAGCTTTGCTTTACTTATATCTGCTGTGCTAAAGTAAATAAATAAATAATAATAAAAAAATGTTAAATTAAATGTCATATTAAGTAAATGCTAATGATCCATATTGCACAATGATTAATTGTAACATCTATTTATGTTATTGAATGTTTGTTTTAAGTTATACAGGCCTATCATTTTCGAAAGTATATATAACTTTACACAGAACATATTATAACTGAATATACATAGACATAAAAATGAATAAAATATTTATATTTCTGTAATTATATTTATAAATGTAAGTAAATAGCACTATGTCCACCAAGGTGATTTATAGCAAATGTTCAGTTTAAATTAACAGACAGTGCAATGTCAACCCTAGAATGAATAAAGAAACATATAAACCATTTGTGAAAACAAATCACAAATGGTCATAAATGTTTCTTTAAAATCTTAAAAATGTTAACCATTCAAATGCATATAGAGACATATAAGTTATGTTATGACCCTGTATAGTTATTTGCTGTTCTGTCCCTGTGTTATTTTGGGAGAGTCTGTGTGTAACATCATCTGATTGCCTGCTGCTGGCTGATGGCTGGCTGGTGCTATAACAAAATTATGTTTAAAAATTAAAATGTTTGATATTCATTACTTTTTTATTATTATTAATTTCTTTACCCTTAAACTTGTATTTAAGTTATAGTGGCAAGAACAAGTTTGTGAAACCTTTGAAAAAAATCATTGTCTTGTTGCATCACAGGTTGAAGACATTCTATATTCTCCTGTAAAATCATCTCCTCTTGTCTGATGATCTGACCAGTCTTGACATGCAGCGTCAATAGTCAAGTGCTTCCTGATAACCCAAAGAGATTCGATGAGCATTCCTGTGTAGATTGGTGCTATTTACCTTTGAACTTGTCTTTAGGGAGCCATAAATCAAAAGTGGCAAGAATAAGTTTGTGAAACCTTTGGAAAAAAAAACAGTTTCAGCATTGATAAAATGTGGTGTGATCTTAATTTGAATAAGAATTACAGATAATAATTGTTCACACACAAACAATTGTACATTTAAATAAATTCAAAAGGATTTCAAATTTTTTTTTGTGTTGGTTTTTATTTGTGTGCTTTGGTTAATTGTCTTGTTGCGTCACTGCAACTGCAACTGCTGTCCTGCATTGAAACATTTTCTGATGGCACAGGCTATTGATGTTTGTTGCTACCAAAGGACCAGAAATAAGTATATTATTATATAACACATTATTATATACATTATATGATACATATGACACAGAAGATATAATAAAGCACGTGCGTGTCCATTGTAGTTTCATGACAGATCATTATAATTCCTGACTCCTCTGATAGACATATCTTCTTAAATGATCAGTTGACTTCTGAAGACATGACTTTGCATGAGACATTTGGAAAACGCATTATGATCAGGAAAGATCATAAAACAAAGTGAAAAGTGCATGTTTAGGACTATAAATTAGGATTAGAAATGAGGGTAAATAGATTTTAATGCCTTAAAAATATTACAAGTTCAGAATTGCCACCTTAACACAGCCAGAATGTGTGCATTGAGAAACACGTTCAAATTTGTCATCTTAACGCGGGCAAATTGTGCGTGTTGACACGAGTCACATTTCACGCGTTCCATTTAAAGACTTTTGGCCCCGTCCGCCTTCCATACAGGTGAACTGCTGAACTGAGCCTTGCTGGTGACGTCACTGTATTTGGACGCATCTGCTCTCCACTGAAGTTGGGCTTGTTTGAGATGAGCAAATTCTGCTCAGAACCGATCACCGGTGATCACCGCGAGATGCATGCCGGTTAGAAAAGTGTCCGACTTACCGCCGACTTGCTCTGATGTCATGCTGACGTGTGCAAAAACAACTCTGGCGACGGCGAGGCGGCTGTGTCGGATTGCGCAGTCGAGCGCAGTTGCTCTCCACCGGCTGCGCTGATCAAAAGCATGATGGGAAACGACTGACTGAAGACACAGCTTAATGCTCATTGGTTCAGACACCTGTGATGCCGCTTCTAAAATGTTTTATTTTGATCTGATTTCATGTGATTATGTATTTAAATTATGCATGAATGTTCCCAAACACTATGACAGCGCCATCTCTGTGTGAGATAATGTGATTATGTCGTATTTCTATAAAAATCTAAAATACTTGCGTTAGAGTAAAAATGGAAAATACACCTTTAGTATGGAAGCCTGTGATGCCGCTTCTAAAATGTTTTATTTTGATCTGATTTCATGCGATTATGTATTTAAATTATGCATGAATGTTCCCAAACACTATGACAGCGCCATCTCTGTGTGAGATAATGTGATTATGTCGTATTTCTATAAAAATCTAAAATACTTGCGTTAGAGTAAAAATGGAAAATACACCTTTAGTATGGAATCAAATAGCAAGCACTTTGAGTGTCTTGTTCATCATATTTAGTTTCATATAAAAGCAACAGAACTGAAAGTATATCATGTTTATTAGCAACACAGCACGTGAGTGTGAATAACGCGATATCTGCCTTTGATCTCGTTGGTATCTGTTCACTTCGAGAGGTCAGAACTGTCTGTCTTGCCTGCTCTTATTTCACTCCTCCCCTCACTGCAGCCGCCTACATTTCAGGCAAGGCGAGGTGCATCTCAAACAAGCCTATTTATACGCAGACTGATGAGAACAGGTTGGTTAAATAGCAGAAGTTGATCCTCCACCACATACCACAAACGACGGAGACGTTTCAACAATGCATCGTACTGTGGTGGTTAATCAGCGAGTTATGTCGTTACACGGGAAACGCACCCCGAATCGATCGATTCAATTGATCTCGTTCTGCTGAGGAAAAACAGTGTGGCGCTTACATGGGTTACATTTCAGTGGTTTTATATTAGAGACTCCCTAATAATGAGTTATTAAAAGATGAATGAATGGAAAAAAAGGGTTTGACGGTCCAGCCCTGAGTTTGGGGCTTTCAGATCATGTAGGTTTTTTTGCTTTCTCTTTCTTTTTAACCAGGTCGCCAATAGGCTACACGTGTATTTAATTTGACCTACGACATTACGATTATTGTCATTTTATCTGGATAAATAGGTCATGCGTTTTTATTATCCGAAATTTATTTATATTTACACACTATATCAAATTCTCGCGGGCTTTTATAGTGAAACAGGAATAGAAAGCCATAATTAGCCTAAAATAGAGCAAAACTATTTTAATAAATTCTAACAGACACCGCTGTTGACATGATGGGATGCTGTTTTGTGCTCACACTGTTCATTTTGCTCCTTCACGGTAAGACATTTGAATTGGTAACTACAACGCGTTTTCAGCGGTGGAAAATTACAATTTCACATCGGTATTATCTTGTATTTTATTTGTCGGTGTTTTATTTTTTATATATATTTTTAGCAATATAGTGCCACGATCTTCCTTGTTCTATGTGTTTTGGACGGCATTTATTTATTTGATTGAGTTATTCCTGTTCCGGAATAAATGTCAAGTGACTCAGCATGAAACTGGTTTGGCCACAGGCTGCATATCATATGATCGTGTTGTTCTTAGTACGTCTACAACTTTCATTCTCACTCATCACTGGTTTAAATGTGTAGGCTAGAGAGAATTAAAAATTATATATATTTTTAAATAGCTGTGCATGAAGAGTATGTAAATGTTAAAAAAATAAATGTCAATGTTAAAATATCTGAGGCTGTAAGTATTTCTCTGCCTCAGGAGTTCTTTCAGTTTTCTATCAGATATCTCCAAGGGAAAAAAGGCCAAAAAAGGTTTTATATAATGACGAATGTCTAAAATGATTCCATAATAATTTATTTTCTAGTGATAAAGCATTCATACATTTGTATTAAAATTACAAATGAATTATATTAACAAAATGTATAACTTTTAAAGAAAAATAAGCCTAAATAATTAATTATCCTATGATGGGAACCCCTAAAATGTTTTTTAATGTGCCCGCCAGAACCTTTTCTACTAAGATCTGTTGATAAGCACCATTGTCCTTGATAAATCACACACCCACAGGCTTGTTTTTGTATTTTCGTGGGGGCTTTCCATTCTATTGTTTTTAGATATTAATTCAACATTATACAGTAACAATATATTTGTGTTTCCAGGTGTGTTTGGTGAGGATGTGGTGACAGTGATGGAGGGAGATACAGTCACTCTACACACTGATATCAACAAAAATGAACATGACAAGATGCTGTGGTATTTTGAAGACACTCGCATAGCTCTGATCAACGGACATCCCAATACAAGCTGTTTATATGATGGTGAAGGCGGGAGATTCAGAGACAGCCTGAAGGTGGACTATAAGACTGGATCTCTGATCATCACAGACATC